TAATAACTAATAACAGCAGTGTGACCTCTTTGATGTAATGCTGTTTCAGATTATCACAGTCCATGCTACTGTATTAGATGCATAAGTATTATGTCTGCCGTAGTGTTAAATTCAAAGCTGTCACTGACAAACACCTTTTCAGCTATCATTGCTCTTAAGTCTCATAAAATATGTTCCTTTCAAAATGTAAATGAGACTTTTGTTTAGTTGTATAGGAAGATAACTGTAGTGTGTTTTCTTGCAACTGTTCTTAATGTCAACATTTAAATTGATCTTTAGGGCTGCACATACCCAAAATGGAGTTTAATACATGGGACATATCATTTTAATGACTGGAGTGTTACAGTGACAGTGCACTGAATTTTAATCCTTGCAATGAACTCTGTAATGTCTGTATTAAGTTAGGTTGTCTACATGGCTTTTGCTTCGATTTCAGCCATCTACAATCCAAATATACAACAAAAATATTGTTGGTGAAGTACTAGTCTTGCGGAAAGTCCTAATGCGTGCTACGACTCCATAGAAATCACTCTACAACTTGGGAAATTGGCCACTGGGGTTTTTATGCAGTCTGTGTTTATTCACAGCAAACAGCTAATCTTACCAAATGTACAGACATGAACTTATTGTGTGTGCCTGGGTTGTGGCTTTGCATGCTGGCAGCTGGCTCGTTCCTCTGACTCATCTTTTAACTTTGTCAGTTTTTCCCGACAGACTCTTCACCTTTTAAGTTCTTTTTGCACTTTTATAAACTGTAGGTGAGTATTGTGCCTGACAGGGAGTAGGAGTATTATTATCTCTTCTTAGGCAAAATAAAATTTGATCAACAGGTTTCAGAAAACCATGTACGTGCACTAAAGCCAGCTGTTTCACAACTAAATCTTGTATGCAGCATTCAGCCAGTGCAGGTGTTGTCAAGTGTCTAATGTTTTCAGCAATAGTGTCCTTTTCTTTAAGTCTGTGGTTTTAATTAGCTCCTGGGGATATTTTTAGTGGCGTTCTTGATGATTTAATCAGGTTTACAAATTATAATATTTAACCATCATGCCTACCATGGATCTTGGCAGCATAATAAACACAATCTGACATACCTCTGCAGAATTGCATTAGGGGTTTGGCACTGCCAGAGAGCAGAGCTGGAAAATGTCAAGCTAGCTGGCATCAAGGAGCTCCTGTTACCGGTAAAGGGGAAAACTCGCAGTGCTCTGCCAATTCAGAGCACAGACAAACTCACGCACTCCGCATGCAAACTTCCAATTACACTCCTATTGCTAGAGTTGGTTTGTAAACCTTTCTTGACATAAAGAGAAAGCAGAAGATGGGGGTTAGTAAACTGTTGTGGTTGCCTCTTTCCATCCCTGAGAAAGGAACAGCCTTGAATGTTGCATGTGGAAAAAATGTGGAAAGGGACAGTGAAAATATCTGTAGTCGTAATACCTTTTAATTCTAATAACTGGGGTCTGAGCTTGTACCTAAATAATGGGACACAGTAGTGTAGAACTTAAAGCAAAAACTGCCCGGAAAAATGTTCTAATGCTCCTTTTTCCCCTTCTTGTCTGGTATTGGATTATGCTCTGACACTGGAAAAGTCCTGGTGAATTAGAATGACTTCATTTCATGGGCACGTTGTGTTGCAATAAATTCAGTCGTTTCTCTCTGCATGACCTCTGGATGAGCTGCTGCAGTCGATGTTTCTTCTCCAACTCTCGTCAACTCCAGATTGGTTTTCAGTTTTCAGTGTAGGCACTGCAGCTCTGAAAAACACTCTTGATAATGTTGGCCAAAAAATTAGTACTCCAGTGTATGTGTGAGTGTGTCTACTTCGATCACTTTCACCACGTGTCCCAAAGAAATGGCAACCCAGAAATCTTACATGTTGATTTTTCAGAGTTATTTATGTGGTTTTGTGCTTTCAAACTCTGTCAGAATAAGCTTGCCATAAAGTGTTGTCATCAGCATCATATTTCCATCACATTTTTTTCATCATTGGTGTCTGACAAATAGCTGTGTATAGTTCATTGCTGGTTATAAACAGGCACATTATAAGTATACATGACACCCTGGACATTAATCTGCTGCTATAACATAACATTTAAAAATGTATTGATGGAGCATGGGATCACATTACAGGAGGGAAATGACAAGCACAAATTACTGATACAAAGATAGGACTCACTATCACTCTGTGTTGTAACATTAGGATTTCCTTCATTGGAAATGAAGTGCCAAGGTGAAACCAGGAGACAAGGGTGTACATACAGTGCATCTAAGATGCACAAGAGTGTCTCTCTGTATACACTCCGAGCACAACGTTAGGCTACTTTGGTCGTGCAACCAGGGCCAAGTGTGCTGATGAGCTCTTACACATCTAGTAATTAAAAATGGAAAGGAAAATGGGTGAGGAGTTTCTGTACTTTACATTAGCAAGGACGACAACATCACTGACAAGCACGCGATTGTTTATCAAGTGTGAATAAATGTGATGTTGATTAGAGGTAAGCTAAGCATCTGCAGTTTGGGGAAGGCTTTGCTGAGAATCAGGCCTGGCAGACCCCCTCACCTAAGAGAAGGGGAGAGGAAGAAGAAGTAGAAGAGGGAGAAAGGGTGGGGCACGGCAACAGGATCAAACGGGTGTGCAGGGCGGGAAAGTCATTTATAGACATATGACAGGAAGAGGAGTGTTTGAGGTGTGGTCCTGCTCTTGAGCTTCAGCTAAAAAAATGTCCCTCTATGTGATGGAGTCAAACAGTGACAGTAGTGAAATTCGTCACTGCATCAGAAGGATAATTTGTCACGTTTTCTGGTTCGAGACTCTCTGATGGGAGGGTTTGAGGTTTCAGCTATCACTTATGTTTGTATTTATTGCCGTAGGTGGCAAGCTGCCTGAAGAGCTGTTGCACTGAATTAAATATTGCTGGAAATTTGGACTGTGCTAGGCTCTTAGAATTTGTGATCTACATGTTTGAGTATTTTCTGACATTTTATCAACTAAACAGCATATTATGTATATAATCCTTAGTCGCAGCCCTCATCATCTCAAGTAGTCCAGATATGCACTTGTTTTAAAAGCTGCTGCTTCTTGTATAGAATTATTTATTAGGATGAATAGATATGTGCTGTTTCTCTGGTTATTGTGTCCACAGCTTTGCTTTATATTTCTTACTATAATTAACTTGTTGTTTATATCAAGCAAAATCTCTAACAATTTATAAAGTAACTTAAAACTAATTCACTTTTTCATTCATAGATTGCAAGTATAGTATATTTTGGTAAATAATTTTGGGGTCATACGTTGCGCTTTTTTGTGCAGATTTTTATTTATTTATTTATTTATTTTGGTCTCTGCAGTTCCTTTAACTATAAAGTTCAGAGCAGCTATATTCTATTCTTAGATTAAATGCCAACTTTTACAGATTTAGTTTTTTATTTATAATTTAGATGTTATCAATAAAGAATAATGCATCTGGAAATAATACACAGAAATTGTATTTAAAAAATGCCTTTCATAGACAGATATAGAACCTAGTATAAATACAGTAACGTCTTTAAACCGTTACTGGAACCCTGCAGTCCCCACTGAGCTCAGCACAGAGTTCTGGTGGAGCATTAGTGCCTCCCTGTGGTCAGATACTCTCCTGTTCTGTGATCAGTTTACAAATAATAATAATCATACCAGGGAGTCTGGAGTATTCCTGTTGTACTGAATCTGTGTTATTTCTGCTGGTGGTTAGTTTGGCTCTTCTTTCTACAAGAATATTGTTTAGTAAGTCGTGAGTGGGAGAAGCTTTCTAAAATGTATGAATTCTAAATTATCTAAATATGAAACAAATGAGCTTCATGCCTCATTTTCTTTTTACCTTTAGCTCTGAAAGAAATCCCTTTGAGTTTAGTTTTGGATGGTACTTGCAGATTATATGTAATTGTGGGATGAATTTTGTCAAGGAGTTAAGGCTTTTCTTACAAGGTTACACATAAACAGTTTTGGCAGTATTTTAGTGTATTTGCAGCATAATACTGAAATGTTGTTGCAACAACCATTGTTTGTAACTTTTGCCTACAAATCAAAAAAAATAAATCAAACCTGTAATTAAGGCTTAATCAAAAGCAGACATTTCCCTGACATTTTCCATCAAAGGGAAATGTGGTGAAAGGTATAAGGATATGATTTTTAGGTTCTTGGACTGTCCTCCACTTTATTGACTTTGTTGTCCTTTCTTGTTGTCCTCTAAATCTATATTTATGATGCTCAAGTCACAGTCAGCTGAAGCTTCAGTCTACCACTAAGTGGAATGTCTTTTTCAGGTGTCATCTGCAGGCTGTGATCATATACAACTGTACATTTGTGTATATGCATGATAGGTTATGCTAATTGTAGTAGGTTTTCACTACCGATAATACTTTATGTAAATCTTTAGCTTTATTCTTTCAGTTGTGTTTTAAGTGGATTTTATCTCATCTGTCTGTATTTAGTATCAGTGCAACTTGCTCTTTACAGGGGTGGAGCACACGCGCACACACGCGCACATACACACACCTACACACACACACACACACACACACACACACACACACACACACACACACACACACACACACACACTCCTGGCTCAGATTCTTGGCATGTCTTCCTCATGGTAAAAGAGGAAACTTCCCTTTGCTTCCACCCAGCACCCATAATCCCCTGCTGCCTGCCTGTGTGCCATTCCTGAGCCTCCAGTAACAAATCCACACTGAGAGGAGCTCATTTATGTTTTGACTAGCATTCTGTTCTTGTTTCTGCCTTTTGATGTGTAACCACAGGAGAGAGCAGAGAACCTGATTTGTGTTGTGTATTATCAACACAATAGTTACATTTTTCCATTAGATAACTTTGCTTCTCTGCAGCCCTGTACTTTCACGTACTATGCTGTTCTAAATGGGGGGCTGCAGTGTCCCCTGCAAGAGAGCAACCTTTTGTCATGTCTAACTCTAGTGTTCGTGGTTTCCGCACTATCTCACAGCACCTGAATGACCTGAAGAAGGAGAACTTCAGCCTGAAGCTCAGGATCTACTTCCTGGAGGAGACGATCCAACCGAAGTTTGAGGAGAGCAGTGATAATGTGCTCAAGAAGGTGAGCGAGACAAGCCGTCTTTATGAAAATGTAATTATGGAGTAATCAGAAACCTTACTGTTTGCATGAACTTGATGTTTTTTCTGTACTTGTGTGCTCTGCAGAGCTGCAGGTTTGTGCTTCACAGTGCCTTGTATTGACAGCATTTTTCAAATCTACAGCAGTTACTGAAACAGTCAGTCACAAGTTTCTGCCAATGAGACTGATTCAGTTTCACACTTGTTTCAGTGCTGTCAGAGTGACATGATGACCAAAATACCAAAAGTTGAAAAAAATGAAAATGCACTGGAATGTAAATGAGTACATTGCTCAAGTGCTGAACTTAAACACATGACGTCAGTATTTTTTTCCCCACTTTTACTTCTACTTGCCACAGTTAAATGGATATATGACCACACGTATTTGTGCAGAGTTACTCAATACATTTCTAAATAGGTTTTTAAAAGTTAAATCAGTGATACCCAGTCTTTTTGTCTTGTGATCCCTTTAGACATCTATGAACTGTTAGTTCTATCAAAAAAACACTTCCCCTCGAAACTTCTCACGTTCTTTCATGTTAATAACAGTGTGAGAACCATACCATCAATCATTTTCCCAAAAGATTTGTCTTGTGATCCTTTGCTGGGAACTAGACCTTGAAATTGGCAAGCCCTACATTACCCAACTTCAACTACTTTCTTTTCTTTTTCTACTCTAAGTATGTCTTGCTGATAATACTTATGTGATTTTACTTACCATATTTTGTACACAGTTGATGGAGTAGTTGGAGGATTATCTTAAAATTGTGGTATCGGTACTTGCACCTTAGCAGAGATTCTGAAAACGTGGTGTGCTTCGATAAATGCAGTCCGCACTCTGCAGGAACAAAAAGTATGACAACAAATGGTCAAGGTTTTTTTTTTGTTTTATAATGTCAACAGTTAAACGACTTGCCATCACATGCTGGCAGGCAAAATTTTATTGCAACTTGTCAGGTTATTTTACAGTTAACTCAGTCTTAACTAACAAATTTAAGTTCGATTTCTAAGTGCCTTATCAAAGACAAGGGAATCTGACTTTGTGAAAACTGTGCAATGTATTGAAAGAGATTCATGTGACTGCCAAAAGAATAGCTATTTTAACTGCCCCCATATTAACTGTCTGACCTGTTTTCCATCATCCACAGTGACCCATATTATGTTTGCGTGAAAACCTCCACACAGTTTGCATGAATCCACGCACACTGTGTATTTACAGTACTGGTTTGATTTCATGTGTTCGAAGTGTATGCATGTTAACATGTTGCACGTGAGTGGTCTCGCACGCATGAATAGCAACGCTCAAGTTGTGGGATGTGTTGTGTGTCAGTGTGTCAGTAATCAGACCCGCTACACATGAACATAAGGTTCACTGCAGGAGCACAGAACTGTAATTCCAGACTGATGTGCAGAAAAATAAATCATCACTGCAGTCACATATCTGCACGTGAGTGAAGTGACAGCCAGTTTGGTCCAGTTTGTCGCTGCTTTTAGTACCAGCTAAAAGTGGAGCAGTGGGATTGGGGGTTGGGTTTGGGGTTGCTAGATGTGACACTCAGGGTTTTGAGAGGAGACAGATGCAACAGGTGGTCTTGTCCCCTGCCTATTTATAGACCTAGTAAGCCCCCTGAGATATGGGTCGGCATGTGAGACTTGGAAACGCGTTTTGTGTTGTGTAGCGTCTCACTGCAATGTATACTGAACAGAAGTCCAAATTAAAAATAGAACCATATCTCTGCTTAGAGATGAAGTGGAACGGCAAAGATGTGTTGATTTTGGTTTGGCGTGACATATGAGACAGATATGGTTTCTTCTGCTGATTTTATCACATGCATTTTCTATGTTGAAATGTCATGCAATAAAATATTACGTTATGCAAGGTTGTCTTGATATGACCATCTATGTCTGAAGTCAGTTTAACTTAAAACACGACAATATGCCCTAATATCATAATTAACTGTCACATTTGTTTTGATATATAAATAGAGCAATCAGTATTTTAAATACACCGGTGTATCATCTTACATGATTTAAGCATGCTCACTACTGATTGCTTGTGCTGATTAATACAGTAGTGTATGTAGGTATTCTGTCCTGGGCTAGAGGCAACTGTGTCACTGGTTAGCATAGTTATTGGCTTGATTAAATGGCATTTAGGTCAGTTTTCTTTTGTGAAAATAGTTATGTGAACTAACTTGTGTCAGTAAAAGTCTCATTTCTTCATTTGCTAAAGTAACCTATAGGTTATTTGCTTAATTTCACAAATTAATTTACAATGTGCCATGAAGCATCAGTATTGACAATATAATTACTACCTACCTGCCACTTAGAAACTAGTACTAGCTGTGTCCTTGGTATGAATCAATGTGACATCAGTATTGCACCTTTATCTTCCCATTTTCCATCAACATAAAATTGCACTTGTAAGACATAAAATTCACTTCACTTCCTATCTGCAGCTTCTTATTGTTTTGCTTAATGAATGTCTTCCAGAACATTGAGTTGAAGGTTGAAGTTGAGAGCCTGAAAAAAGAGCTTGAGGAGAAACAACAACTTTTGGACAAAGCACTGTAAGTATTTGACTTCTTCCTGCATCAATAACCACCGTGCTTTCAAATGTTCAGCTGCTTCTGCTGCACAGATTTGTAGAAATGCCTTTGGAGAAACCTGACAGTGAACCACAAAAAGACCCCTTTCATTGCTAGTTTGATTATTTCCCATGAGTCCATCAGTACATTAGAGCCCAGTGCTCTCAGCCTGCTGGCCTGTAGACTCACCTAGCTATCACAACATGGCCTAAGCTCTAAGGAATGCCATGTATGAACTCAGCACTGAAATGCTTTTGAAGAGGATGAAGTGGCTCTGTGTTCTGGGATGGAGGATGAAGAGGGGAGGAGGGCGAGGAGGTGAAGAGGGGGTTAGGATCCTACTGCGGGTTCATTTTAGAGGGGGAGGATGTAGAAAGTGTGGAAGCAGAGACAGTAAAGGTGCCGTGTGGTTTGTTGTGTTGCTAAATTGAGAACTAGGTAAGCTCCAGCACCTGTTTGTCAGGCAGCTGTCGGTCTCTCACTGTATCAGTTTCTTTAGCTACTCTCCACCCAAGTCACCAAACGACATGAAATGAATCTGCAAACCTCAGATTTTACTAAGGTCAGCTGCTCTTTATCTGTTACATGCTCCTACAGTATGTACAGTGAAATGTAATTATTCTGCACATCATCTTTGCATTTAATTTGCATCTCATCTTTGCAATTCTTGCAGGCTTACTGAAATCCCCATCAGCCTCATCTGCACTTTGCGTTTTTAGTGTTAAATAGTAAATGTTAGCATGCTAACAGGCTAAATCAAGCTATTGAACATGGTAAAGAATATACTTACAAAGTATCAGTATGTTTGAGTTGTCATTCTGAGTATGTTATCATCGTATCAGGTGATGTTAGTTTTTATGTATAACAGCTGTATTTAATGATGTTATTTAGTGGTCATGGTTACATTTAGCAGCAATTGGTTAAGTCCCCAGTGTCCTTGGACAAGACACTGAACCCAAGCTGGTGCTGGTGGTAGGCAAATAATTTACATGGCATGTTCGCCACGATCGGTGTGTGAGTGTGTGAGTGACTGGGTGAAGGAGAAACGTCATAAAGGTCTTTGAGCACTGTGAAAGAACAAACACTCTATCACCTTGTACACCCACTATCCAACCCAACCACCTCCTGCTGCACAGTTCATCAACGTGTTGCTGTCTTCACCTTTCCTCTAAACTTAGTTGAGTCTGTTGCCTTGCAGCATAACTAAGAAAACAATTTAGCTGATCAGAAATATAGTTGAGGGGACAGGATTGCTCACAGAGCCGCTATCATGACTGTAGACTATTGGGTTTGTTGAAGTGATTATTCCAAAAAATATATAGCAGCATGGGAACTGTAGAAGGGTTTTTTTTTAAGTGTTGGGATATGCTGTATTTATGTGAAGGTACACTAAGCATTTCAGCAAGTGTGGAAGCCTCTAGTACCTACGTAAAACCCTTTGTGTTATGTAGTTGCTGCCTGGTTTACTCAGTCAGGCAAAGAAAATCCACGCAAGATACCAACCCAATCCTTGCAAGTATTTTGAATAAAACACTTACCCTTATAGACTTCTAGCATGTCATAGCAGAAAAGAAAGAAAACAGATATAACTGACCTTTTAAAAAAAAAAATCTTGGCATGAACGTTAGAGAGGAAGTGAGGCGATAAAGAAGACACATGTGAGCATGGTACGGCAAACAAGCTAGTGTCTGGTCGTCTTTGCTTCATATTGGATGTATTATAGTAAATGTAGTGGCTGTAGTGCTCAGAACCATTTGTATATGTGATATGTAGTCCCTAAGAAACTGTCACAATGAGCTGATCCCAGGAGCAGGACTGGATACACGTCATTTCACTCAGAGTGATGCCTTGTGTCATTGGTATTCACAAATTTACCAGCTTTGCATCAATCCAGCCTTCAAGATCTACACAAGGCTGATGCTTTTCTCCTTTCTTAGGGGGACTTTTTTGGAAGTCTGCCAGCCTGGGAGCTGATCCTCAGCAAATTCTTTCCTATACCACGGCCACTTACCTGACCTCTTATCAGCATCACACTTACAATCTCAGTTAACAAACAATTGGGTGTTTTTAATTGATGGTGTGGTCCTTGCTCATGCAAAAAAACAGCTATACAAAATTTAGAGAAGCATCTTCTAACCTTTAGACAGGAATCATCCAATACAATACATTGTGGTATATTAGACATATGATACAGCAAATGATTCCCCTCATGTGACTAGGAGTGTGTCTCTTTGTTGACCCTGTGATAGACTGGTTACCTGTCCAGGGTGTCCCCTTCCTTCAGTCTGAGTCAGCAGGGATAGACTCCAGCACCCCCATGACCCCACAGAGGATATAGCAGTGTATAGATAATGGTTTTGTGCATGTGTTCCCTGTCCAGCTGCTTTATTTAAAAAAAAAAAATGTCTGGCTACAGTTTTTAATTAGAACTAATAACACAGCTGGGCTGATCAATGGGAGGAGGAAAAGCTGAGTGTGACCTGACTGTTGATGTTTGCTGAGTTGTGGAGCAGTAACAGACTGTATCCTCTTCCTGCAGAGGAGGTCAGGAGACATTTCCATCTGGAATCCATGTTTTCATTCTATTAACAAATGAAAGTCACCGTTGTTTAAACTTTTTTCATTACCTCTGCACAATAGGGTCTGCTTGCTGCTGCTTTCGTGTATGTGATTGCTATTCGACATGTTATTTCCAACACCTGTGACCAGATGATGCAGAGTTAGGAAATGAACCAAGAAGCAAGTTTTTAAATTCCCTCCCTGACAGACGTTATACGTTTTCTAAATAAATGCTTTTAGACATAAATTTTTGATATATTTAAAGGTAGATATCCATAAGGCATCAACAACCATTGCTAGAAAAAATATGTGTCTGCTATAGTCAACTATTGGGGTTAGAAACTCTTCGTACTATTATTTGAACCAGTGTTTTAGGATCAAGTGTTATATCACTGAAGATATTATTTATTTTGCTATTTAATGTGTATATTAATTCCTCTACAAACATTGCACTCCTTATAGATCAACAGCAGAAAGCTTGTCCAATCAGAATGAAGCAGAGCTGCAGTGTCACCTGGCCGAGCGGCAAGAGGAAATCAGCCACATGCAGGAAATCCTGGAAAGCAAAGTTCAGCTGTTGCAAGAGGTACAAGGTCACTGATAGACTTCACGCTTCTTAAAACTGATAATGACCATATGACTAAAACAGCAAAATTTGGAAAAAATGGTGTACAATATTTGGACTAACTAAAAAAAACAAACAAAAAAAAACATTAAGAGGTTTGCATTGATTTGGTGTTAAGAAGTTGCCAGCATTGTCTTCTGTCCATGATGTGTTCAGGAGGCTGAGCTTGCACGAGGTGAGGCTGAGCGGATGGCCTCGTTAGCAGACTCTGAGGCCCAGCGCTGCCTGGCCCTGGAGAAAGAAATGGAGGCAAGGTTGGAGGAACGTGGAGGCTCTGGTGGACTACTCACCCAGCAAGTCCTGACTGACAAAGACAGGTAATTTATGTTTAAATCTGGAGTAAGCAGTATATATCGGGCATCACTGGGTAAAAATTCCATTAAACCCATAGTATTTACCTCAGTCTCCACTTCTCCTGTTGGACATTGCTGCTTTCCTTGCCTAGCGACCACCAGACCCCACAAAAGTCATGCCTCCACTCACCTTTTTTTCTGGGTGTGACATCTTTCTTCACTTGGCCCAGAAAATTGCCAAGGTACCTCAGCTACCCGAGAACTTGACTTGACTGCCCCGTACTTGGATGCTGCCACTACTCTGTCCGCGGACCACTGGACCCTGCTGGGAGCTGATCCCAAGGCCCTTCTTAGCTCCACTCCAACCCAAAAGGAGTTGTGGAGTGTTACCCTTAGGGGTAAGCATTGTGGAAAGCTCATCTGTCATCCCTAGTCAACTCAGACCCTCCAGGTGACCAGCAAGTTCTCTATTCTGGATGAGCTTGAGGGCCCTCCACTTGCTGGTTTCTGCACTCTGTCATTGTCTCCAGAGTCTGATGACAGTTTGGCTGCCACTACTCTACACAGCTGTGTTCAAGACCTTCATTTTTTACAGTTGATCGTTGCTGTCAATTGCACACCCCCCACCTTTAGCCTGCCAGTGTGCAGTTCATCTCTCAGCCTGCAACCAGCTCTTCAGGTCCAGGCTCCACAAATGCTGTTATTCCTGTCGGCACCAATGCAATGATGCCACAGATCAACAGTTTGAAGTCTTGAAGCATGATTTTAACGTCTTTTAAACTGCTCAAGGACTGCAAAAAAAAAAAGAAATCTGTTTTTGTCTTGAAGGCCATTGCCTTTTTCTGTTGAGGCATAGGATGTCTTAGCAGGCTGCTCAGTTTCCACACCTGCTGTCAAAATTCACCTCACAGAACTTAGTCTACACTGATGGTTTTAATCTTTTGTGGAAGCATGCATAATTTTTTAATAGAGATGGCCTTCACCCTATCCACAAGATACCCATGGCTTAGCTGCAAACATTCTTCATGCTCTCTGCATCGCCATATGCACATGACAAATACCAACCACACACCTGGACAACGGACTGGTCACTAAATGCAACTCTCCCTCTTTACTGCCACTGTCATCCCCAATTACACTCACTAGCTCCATCCACAGGCATAGAAAGCCGTCTCTTTCAAGCACTGTGTCTCATGTTGTTCATATTTCCGTTATCATAAGGAACTTGTCTGTTCATCAAAAATCAATCAAAGATTTTTAGAAATGCAGCAACTTTAGTTTCCATTACAAATAGACTTACAATGGTACTACTGAATGTGAAACCTACATCCAGACTTACATTTTAAAAGATTTTATCTTGTTACAAACATGTATCTTATGTTTTGAATCTGGGTGCAAATGAATCATTATAGTTTGCCTGTTGAACTTTGTTGACCATAGTATGACTGTTTCAGCAACAGTCAGGATCAGTGGTGGTGGCCTTGTGTTTCGAGGATTTTTCTTTTTTTAAAGGACTTGTTTTTAAACTTGGCAATCCCAATCTGATTTTAATTACTGTCATTTATTTTACCCGAACACCATCCATTTATTCATCCATTCATTTTATTCGGCTTATCTGGGCTCAGGTTGCACAAGATGCTGTCTCTATCATTACATCTACCCAATCTTTCAGGCTTGGGCTTGTGTCCATTTTCCAAAGTCTTAAAATAATTCTAGATGCAGTGATCAAACCAACCATAATGACAGAAAAAGCACTCTTTGATGCACTCTGTACTTGAGTTTTATCACCCAGAAGACAAAGATCTGGGATCAGAGGGATCGTTGAACCGAACCAGCTACTCAGAACTCGAACAACTTGACTCCAGAAAGGTGCCACCAGAGAACACTCCCAGATACAGTGAAGGAAAGGTCCAACCTCTGTCTTGCATTCCCAACAGAAGTTCATGCTAATGATTTTTTAAACATCACAGTTTTCATTGATTTGAGTCAGTATGTGTGCAGAACAACAACACATAACTATGGGTATACTTTGTATACATACTGTGTATGAATGTCTTTTGTGGAATTAAAGGGTATGACTGCATACTATGCATTGGATCCTATATGGATTTTTTTTTTTTTTTTAGATCCCTCTCTCCCTCAAAATTATAGACTTATTTTCAAACTACCTTTTTTTTTTTTTTTTTTTTTAATTGAGAAAATAATGTTAGTTTAACTTCACTAGAAAATGACAAAAAATTTGAAAACTTTAATTCTGGATTCTAGAGATTCCCTGAGAGTACACTGCTTAGAGTTACCAGTGACCTGGTAATGGCTGCTGCCGATGTACTCAATCCTGCTGCTGCTGACCTTAGTGCAGTCTTCGAGATAGTTGTTGATCATAGTATGCTGCTGGACAGACTTAAGAAGTGGGTGGAAATACCTGGTGTTTTACAATGGTTTGCATTATATTTGTTCCGTGTCTCTTTTAACAATCACATAACTTCTTTTTCTTCTGTTATGGTGTGCCACAGGGGTCGATTTTAGGACTTTTTTTTTTCTCTTCGTACATGTCAACTTGTGCACATTATGTAGAAAAAATATCTCTTTTCTCTTCTTTATATTTCCTGTTAGATCCTCTTAGCCTGGAATCCTGAGTTCTGTCAGTGACTTCCTAATGTCAAAAACAGAATGTTAAATAACTTCCTTCAGTTGAATGGAGACAAGAGAGATATTCTTGTTATTGGTCACAACACACGAACGTCCAGAATCTGACTTTAACTGGTTCTTTTTTTTAGATCATGTCAAACCTGTAAACAAACTTGATGTCTGTTTTGACAGAAAGTTTTTTTTTTTAAAAAGTCCTATCATATATTCATCATTTTAGAAATATTTTGAAAATATGGTCTATCTTAACTTTTAAAGAGACAGAGAGCATTTCACAGGCTTTTATTTTTATCACGGTTGGATTACTGTACAGCCTTTTAACCTCCATGAACCAGAAAGCTATTGATCGACTCCTGTTTTAACCTCTTTACACTGGCTGCCACTATGTTTTGGGATATATTTTAGAATTTTACTGATTCCTTTTAATGTCCTTCATGGCCTCTCCCTGAGCTATATGCTTGACCTTTTAGGACCATATTGTTTAGTATTTAAATACCAAAACCCAAACTGTGCAATAAAAAATACCTACACAGCTACTAACTCTAGCTTTAAAATACATTTCATACATTTCAAAATTCTAACTGTAGGTCCAACATTATATTACAACCTATGACTGTTGACTTTTTTTTATTGGTTTTTATCAACTCTGCAAAATCAGTAAATGATCATTTATCCTTTCCCCTCTCTCTGTTAGGGTGATTGAGGAGTTGACACAGCAGAAACATTCACTGGGTCTTCAGATCGAAGAGCTTGAGATGAAAGTTCACAACCTTGTCTCTTCTCTGAAGAAGAAAGAACAAGAATCTGAGGTAATTTTTTTTGCCATTTTCCCTCCTCCTTTCTATTGATATACCTATGCCAAACAAATAATTGATACGGTGTTCAGCATCTGCCTCCTCTGAAAATGTTATAGTACTTCTGTACTTATCAAAGAAAAAATATCATATTTCCGTAGAGCTGCCCTGAATATATATGAAATAGTGAACTGGCCACAGGAAATAATGAATGTTGCTGATGTCAAGTCACACAAACTCCTCACAATGCATGGAAAGTTCCACCCAAAGACCAGCACCCTGAGATTCAACAAACAATAAAAACAGGAAGAATGACAATTATTGAGTGTCACAGCCACAATCAGGATGAAACAAGAACCACCCAAGAATATATCAGGAAGATGGCCTCCTGGGATAACCTGTTCAGAGAGTGTCTGAGACAACAGAAGACAAAGGGTGAGAGGAAAAAGAGGAAATATTGTGGAAGACCAAAGCGTGGGATTTATCATCAGCAGATAAAGAAAGTAGTTGATATCAAGAAATCCTGCCAGTGGCCAGGAAATCTACCACTGTAGATAGAATCCCAGGTGAAGGCTGTCTACCACAGCAGCCTTCACCTGGGTTTCTGAGACGCACATCTAAGTGGCTGGGAAAGTGTACAGGAACATCTGTGCCGAGAAGTCCTTAGACCTCGGTGGGACACGCCATCAAAAGTGGCTAAGAACAACAGAGCTAAGATCCTGTGGGACAAGTTCCAGACTGACAAGCATTTGCACCCTAACCAATCTGACATCGTGTGGGAAGACAAGGAGCAGCAGACGGCAGATGTGATAGATGTGGCAATCCAGCTGACAGTAATATCAGGAGGAAAGATCATGAAAAGACTGAGAAGTATTTAGTGGCTGGAGGAACAACTGGAACGGATGTAGAAGGTGAAGGCCAAGGTTGTCCAAGTGGTAAGAGCAGGATTAGGCCTTTGAACTTCAAACTAGGAGAGGGGCTCCAGCAGATTCCAGGTACAACATCTGAGGTCTCCGTCTCATGCAGAACCCTTAAACTCCCAGGCCTCTGGTAAAGGACCAGAGCTTGTGGAAGACACAAACTGGATCCACCAAACTCATGAATTTGGTCAAAATGGAAACATTCAACAACAGAGGTTTAAAAAAAAAAACTAAAAAAAAAAAAAACTAAAAATTTAAATGAAAAATTCAGTGCCACATTTAGGCAACAGGTCCTAAGAAAACGAGACTTTTCTGAACTATATTATGGCTAATGAAATTTCTAGTTATTCTAAAGCTTGTCTCAAAAAAAAGGATACTTGCCTCAAAATATGGTCTGTATTGCAGCACTTTGGCTGGTCATAACTAGTTTATCAGACCTATCAGGCACTCTTGTAAATCAAAGTCAAAATCCTAACTGTTACAGAAAAATTAAGAATATTTGCTTTGTCTTACAGTCTTGAGGACTTGCAGCAGCTTCGTAGATACAGACTTAAGATCCAGGCTCTAAACGTGACCCTATCACGTGAGACTACACTATATTTCTTACCAGTTGACTTCCCCCACCTTTCCCCTCATCTCCCATTGCTCTATTCTAAGTGTCCTGGCTCAAAGCCCAGACACACCAATTGATTTAGATATCAACCTGTTTTTAGATCCCCATGTGGGTCAGTGGACGTTTGGCAGATTAGAAGAGTGGCACACCTCCATTTGAAAAACAGAACAGTCTCTTTATGGTTATTTTTTCTACCAGAAATAAGGTAAAGGCTTTTGCCTGCCTGAAGAAAAGGGGGGAAGGTGGTGATAGCTGCTTACAGTGTCAGTGACCCTTATTTGTTCCATTGTAGTTTAAATGCTGTGAGAACTTTACAGCCAAAACAAAAGAGCATTTTAAATGGTGTTTTGTATGTAACTTGAGTCTTTTTTCAACAGTGTCCGAATGAATGCACAGTCTAAACATAAATAAAGATAGAAAAAAGCATTTGCTCAATAAGAGATGTGTTTTGCCACCTAATGTAGCTGCAGCTTGTTTTGCATGTATATTGTTGTAGTCATTCACTGTCACAACAAGTTTTATGGACTTTTTTTTTGTTAGTGGCCAGTTCACCATATAAAACTGAGTGTGCATATGTGATGAGGCAGCATGTGATTCACAACCTTCCCCTCTCAGTTCATGGAGAGCTAGCCCCATCTTGTGTTGCTTCACCTGCGCTGCACACTTATGAATTTGCTGATTCAAAGATGGTTGATTTTACAGGAGTTGTCTCAATTTTTTTTTTTACTTTTCACTGCATGTTAGACAAAAGTAGCACACCCTTCTTTCTTCACTACATTCATTGTCAGCTCTCATTGTTACTCAGATGAGGTTTCTGCATTAAAACAGGTACCTGTATACTTACTTTTCCTTAAAATGACCTTATTCATTTTGAATACTTGTTTTTCTGATTCATATGGGTGTTTACTGCTTTGTTGCTTTGTTATTCTGCATTTTCCAATTTATGGCACTGCTGCTTTTATTTTCTTATAATAATTTCCTGTTTTTTTTTCTAATTATCCTTCTGTCCTTTGGTCACTTCTGAGTTCTTTTCTAATGCCTGTCCCTCTTTCCCTCTGTCTTTATTTCTATCTGTCCTCCTGTTCTTCCTTCTCTCTTTTTTTAAGAAAAGCTTGAAAGAATGAAAATTCCCTAAAACTGGAGAAATAAGTGTTTCAGATTATAGCAAAATGTTATTCTTCCAAATGAGTGGATTTTCAAGCTTGCATACAGTTTGCAGTCACCTTTACTCCTTTTACGCAAAATATAAATCCAAGATTTTAACATGACAGTCAACTGACAAAGTCTGTAAATGATATAAAAATACAATACAAATTTTAGCATTTAAAAAGAAGGGAACCAAAGGAAGAAAAAGAAGAAGAAAATCAAGAAATTAAAACACAAAAAAATCTTTGACTATTAAAATGTCCAGCTTTTGTGAACTGTTTTAAAATTTAAGAAAATCTGTTTTTTTTATTATTTTTTTTTATTTATTTTATTTGTTTTACATGTTGTGAAGACTATTGCTGTTTTTAAAACACCATACCTATTTTTCTTCAGATTTTGTCATACTATAATATCAATGTGTTTAAAATACAGACATGATGTATGATACAATAGAAACATAGATTTTATTTATTTTCCTCCCTCTCTGTCATACACTTTACCATACAGCTAAGTAAAAGCAATCAAAGGACCAAACACTGTCCCAGTGTAGCCAAAGGGATGCATTTACCACTTTGTCACATCAAGTGTCTGCCCTGCCCTCACAGCAAAGTCACCTCACACATACAATACAGTCCTGCTAGTTTTCCCTGACTGATGCCAGGTATAACTATAATCATCTCAGTGTCTGCTGGCTGCTCGCCTCACACTCATTTTGCAACATGGCAGCAGTATGCACAGGAGGAATATGTTGTTTGCTAGGTGTACCAACAAGTGAGACATTGTAGAGAAGAAAATCATTGGAGACACCTCTTCTGCTTATATCATCAATATTTCTCTACTGCTACATTTTGGTGTTTCTGCCACTTTCACACTGCAAGCAGACTTTCCCTCCTTTGAAAGAACAAGGGGAACACTCTGTCAGCAGTGTTTGGCATTTATCTCTGATTAGGATTAATTGAGTTTTGATTGTGGGCCTCATTCCAGCTGATCTGTGTCAGGTGTCGTGACTCTAGAGGACTGTAAGGGGACCAATGTAGATGCAGTCAGAGCCAGAAGACAGTCTCTGAGTCCTGCGGTGGTCCACACACACACACATGTGCACACACACACAAACTCAATGAGAGAGAGTGAAACAAATCACATGTGAGAGCAGTTATATCAACAACACATTCATTCTGCTGCGATAATGAAAGATGGATGAAGATTCATGTATCTGAGTCTGTGGGAAAAAGGCCCTGAAAGTGTATGAAGAAGCCATGGGCTTATTAAGAGCACAGTCCTGCTGCTCAATGAGAATGCCGTGAGTCCCCGACTCTAATTCCTAATTCCACAGAAATGAGAGAGCCTGCTCCCCTCCCTCCTTTCTCTCTTTCATTTTGTGTGACAAGCATGTGAGGGCCAGACGGGGAAAGGCATTAACTCATTCTATTCTTATAATTTTAAGAACTGAATGAACCTGATGTGTTTTCAAACCTCAGACCTTTTTTTTCAGTTCAAACCTGGCACACAGGTCTACAGTTATGCTGACACAAAAAAAACTTTATCAATATGGAAATGAGTATTTTGAATTAAAGAAGTTGTCACAGGTGTTTTAATATGAATGATTTTGAAGGGGGGGAAAAAAACTCGTTAACAGTTGCCCACAAATGTTTACACATCCTTTTTCCCTAGAGAAGCTATAGAGCTTGTCTGGGTTGCACATACAGGTACCTGATGTAAAAACAAACAAACAAACAAACAAACCAAAAAAAAAAAATTTTTTATTCACTATTTCTTTGCAAAAATGTTGTCAGTTGTAGATCGTCATCAGGTTGGTCAAAGATAGTAAAAACTGAAAAACAAAACAACATGATAAACAATCAGACAAAAGCTCCATATAGATCAAATAAAAAAAAATCAAATAAAATAAAATAAAGTGCATTTGACTAAATAAATGACAGAAAGACAGAAGGACACCAGTCAAGTAAATCTCAGGCCAACAAGAAAAAGTAAAGTAAAATAAATAAAGTCATTTAGTGACTGAATGCCTGCTTATAAAGCCTGGCTGTCTGGCTCCATGTGTCCACATGTATTCAAGCATATAGAACACATCAAATGGAGGGTTCATCGGAGGGTTTTTAATATATTCCTTAATGTTCAAATCTTTCACCTGCATTTTCTGCTTTTCAAAACAGTTACCTGTCATTCATGTTCACTGTTTGCTGATCATGAATTTAATTCAGGGAGGAATTCATTTAGATTTAGGAAAGGGGGAATGAAGAAATTCCAAATGAACACTAGAACAGGTCATTCCTGGAGAAATTGTAAATGTGATTGCAGAGAGTTAGTGGATGCTGGAGCTCGTACGGTTCCGCCTGTAGAGCACCGACACCGAGCTCCGGCCGCAACATGCTCTTTATGTTCTGTGATGTTCTGGCTTCTGCGTAAAGGCATTCCTGCTAAAGATAAAAATATTGTAGCTTCTTAAAAACCTTTTACACAGTTTTGTGTTGTAATTTGGTGTCTGCTCTGAGAGCTGGAGCTGAGGTACATGGTGACACACAGCATGTTTCCGGTCCCAGCATGAAGGAAGATATTCCAAGTTAAAGAATTGAGAGGCTGCAGGGAAAGTGTGCCCGCAGTTTCTGTTGCAGTGAATCCGATCCGAACAGTGACTGTGGAACAACAACACTAATAATAGAGAGTGAGGATAACAAAGGGCGAAGATAACATATGCAGATCAGATGAGAAGGAGACAGTGAGAACATGAAAGGGCAGGGCTCCCCCCCGGGTCCTGTAAATAGTTCAGTCCAGGCAGCTGCAGAGGTCCCACTCCTACACATATGTTGAGCAACAAAAAGAATTTAATAAAACATGTTAAGTGAGCCTTTACGTCACCAAGACTCAGCGACATAAATTGTTCTTATACATAGAGCTAGAAAGATTAGTCAGTAATTTATTAGACTATTTAAGAAGAATGAATCAACAGCTATTGTGACTCTTGTGGGCGGCTGTGGCTCAGAGAGGGCTGTCCACTGATGACAAGGTTGGCGGTTCAGTTCCCTGTTTCTCTGCACCCCGAAGTGTCCTCGGGCAAGACACTGAACCCGAAGTCTCTCCCGATGACGGGTAGCTTGCATGACAGCTCTGTAGCACTGATGTCTGAGTAGGTGAATGAGGAACACATAATAAAGCGTTGGAAGTACAGCTGAAGCAGAAAAAAGTACTAAGTGCAAACCATTTATCAGTCAAATCATTTTTGTAGGAAAATGCCAGATCATTTCTATTTCTACCTACTCAACTTTGAGGATTTGATATTTGTCTTTGCCACCCATGATAATAACTTAAATGTTGCTGTATTTATCATTTAAGGATCATTTAATCATGTAAGGCCTGTTGGAACTTTTAATGAGCATTTTTCCAAAATACTGCGAATTTTCAGAAAAAAACAATTACTGAAAAAATATCAGCAGCTTGATCGTCCTGGAAAAAATCGTCAGTCATTGGACAGTTATGGTATTTAAAAAAACAAAAAAAACCACAGTCCATTTTTGACACGTTGCAGCTGCCGAGTGAGGCATCCTCTCACATTTACACGATCTTCCGTTTCCGTGAGCGGAGCCTCGTCTGGCCGTGAGGGACTGCAGCCTCTCCCCGCATCCTCAGCCCGGAGAGCCGCGGTCGGTGGACGCCCGGCTGAACGGTTCAGTCTACGAAGACCCGAACCGTCGACAAACAAAGCGCATTGATTGCATTTGCTACGCGGAGCTCGTGTCCTGCCACTGATTCAGACGGCTGAAAACACTGCAGTGACACCAGCGGACCATCGGTTTTTACAAGGGAGTCATTCAGCAGAGGAGGTCGGGACTGAAACCCAGAACGATCTGACAGGACGAAGGACTTCACCCCCGAGGAAGTGAAAGTGCAACCCGTGACAGAGATTCACATCCGTTCTGCGGGGAAATCTGTTGGTCATGTCGGCGGGATGCCAGTAGACTGTTTACTGGAGAAACCGCTGCAGCTTCCTAATCTCCATCATAGAGCGACCCACTTTCATTTAAGGAATGGATAGACTGCAGGATCAGTTTGTTCTTGTAGATATTCAGAACACAAGTAGCCTATTTCGTACGCTGGAGTCTGTTTGATTCATTTGACTAAGCTTCTCAAACCGTTTAGTCTCAGGTTTAAACGCATAAGGTGTCGATTAAACAGCATGGCACTGTCATTTCAAAACTTCAACTCCAAATGAAGCTCAGGGGGAAACAACCTCTCCACATGTTCCATTTAGTAGCTGTGTTGAAACTTTTAGTAGCATTATAGGCTTTTCCTCTGCAGATGGAGTGAGTGCAGTACTGTTTGTCTGACGCACAACAACTCTGAAGCCAAGCTTAAATGTAAAAGTTTAATTATCAGAAAATGTAGATGCTGAAAAGGTATAAAAACAAATAAAAGCATTTCTGAGAGGGGACATATTTTAATGTATTGTAACTTGTGAAAAGAGTACATTTGATTATTTATAGTCTTTTAGTTTGGATTTATTAGAGCAAGAACTGCTGGAACACACCTGTACAAAGTTCCAAGCAAGAATCTAGCGCTTTGAAGTTACTCTGAGCAGATGTGATTTTATCCTGTGTTTCAAATGATTTCTCACATCTCTTGCATGCATTAAAAGAAACAGACTTTTAAATCAGTAGATCAGTAGATAACGTGCTGTGATGCTGGATGTAGTGAAAATGAAGGACGCCTGCAGGATCTGCGCCCGCGAGCTCTGCGGCAACCAGCGCCGATGGATTTTTCACCCTGCGGCCAAACTTAATCTGCAGGTTCTGCTGTCCCACGCCCTGGGTCATGAGCTGACCCGGGATGGCCGTGCTGAGTTTGCCTGCTCCAAATGCGCCTTCATGCTGGACCGTATGTACCGCTTTGATACAGTGATTGCCCGAGTAGAGGCACTGTCTCTGGAGCGCCTTCACAAGCTGTTGCTGGAGAAAGACCGACTGAGGCAGTGTATTGGACGCCTTTACCGGAAGAACAATGCAGAAGACTGCAATGTGGCTCCATCTGGGTCTGGTGTTGGAGTCGGGATTGAGGTGGAGTCTGAGTACTCTCCTGTGATGGATCTCTCAGCACTGCAGGACATCAGATACTCAGATATGATCCAGGATGATCTGGCTTACTCTGTCTATGAGTCATGGGCTGATAAGGAGGACCCTGCTCTAGACCACCACACCCATCACCATCAGTGCACAGGAGCAGACACCGTCTCTGGTCAGAAGCCAAGGCGATGCAGGGGTTGTGCAGCACTGCGTGTTACTGATTCCGACTATGAGGCAGTGTGTAAGGTTCCTAGACGGGTTGGACGTAGAAGCACATCTTGCGACCCATCCACCCGCTACTCAGCAGCCACTCTGATGGGAGAGGACCTGGCCAGAGTCTGTGGAGCCGCTGAGGCTACAGATGACACCTTTGAGTCCCCTTCAGTTGGGATGGAGACTGAGAAAGCCATGTGTAACCAGACCACTTTGAGCCCTGCATCATCTGTAGAGTTTCTTGATACCACCGTATCCCCTCCTGCAAACCAGAAAGAGAGAGAAGAAGCTGAACCAGATAAAGATTCAGAGGAGGCTCCACTGAGAAGGGACATTCCTTGGGGCAAACCACCAAGTGACACCCCCCCCCCTGGGCTTGAAATGATACTGAGCCTCCTGCGGGGCTGGGAGTACCAGCCAGTAAAACCTCGAAAGGGCAGCAAGCTTCCAGTTCTGGTCAAAGCCAGATTTGAACAATGTCTGCCACCGCCTTTGCCACTGAGGTCCCCCTGTGGTGAAGCAGACTGTGACCTGTACCCCCACCAGATTATACCAGAGGTTGTGACCCCAGAACTGGTTGAAATGGAGGAACAGTGGCTGGATGAATATGTTCAGTGTGGTCCCTTTCGCTTTCAGCAGGTAGTTTAGAAGCATTACTTCTGGGATCTGTCAGCCTAGCTGATGCACTCGGCTTGGCTGAAAGATCCATTGCCTCTTTTTTTAGTTGGCATGGAGATTAGACGCTTTTAACAGAAAGCCTAAAGTAGTGGTGTGGAATCTAAAAGCTGCAGGTCGCTCCCAGGTTTGGAGTGCATCATTTATTATTGCGATGCAACGGGAACATAGGATCCACTGTTTTTGGAGTTTAATCCACACCAGGGATCAAATGTCAGTGCCCTGTTTTTTATACTCTGCTGCACAAACTTACTGAATCCTTTCATAAATACACTTTGACGTGTTCGTCACCTTCATGGAAGTATCTCTTTTAAAAAAAGTGTTTCCTTTGGAATTTTCTAAAAACACAATTAGCACTAAAAAGCAGTAGATTCTGTCCTCTTGCAGCTAAAACACGACTAGCCTGGTTCCAGACATGATTTAGACTGATTATCTCAGTTGCCTTTTTTATTTTAAACAGCTAAAAACAAAGGCACAAATCTAGAATTTACTGCACTGTAGAATCAGATATAGGGTCAGATTCAGAACCAATGAGTTCTGGCTGTTATCTGGACTGAACAACATCATATCTCTGGATGTCTGTCTTACTCATGTTGCTGACAGAGCCCAACACACACACTGCCTTGATTACCCTCTCAGGGAGCAGAAATACCCCTCTTCATCAGTAGCCTAGCAACCCTGCAGTTGCCATGGGAACAGTCTCCAATCGCTACTGCGGTCTATGCAAAGGTCCTTCACAGTCTCATCTGGCTTCATAACTTCTTTTGTTAGATCAGTGATCAGTTTGAATGTGATTCTGTTTGCTAGGCAGTGACAAGACAGCACTGTTAGAGGCTGTTATACTTACGTAGCATATGTGTTAGGCACATATATAGTAGTGTAGTTGGTACAGTAGACATTTCACTGATATGCATGAAGAAACCTGTGAGCATGGCAATCATACACTAATAAACCCACCAGATTATTTATAATAATTACTTTCTGGTGAGATTTGCTGAGATTTGACTCGGTTTAGCATCTCATAGTGTAGAGATGAGTTTGGTTCTCTCTGCTGCTGGTGATCATGCTGTACAGTAAGACCTAGGTCCAAAGATTTCTGTGTTTTTCTCCTGACTGAAAAGTCAAGTGCAGGAATCTTAAAGGTCAGGCTTTGAAGGAAAGTGTTTCTTAAAACAACAGTCAATCCCCTTGCCTTACTGGCTCTGAAGTGATCTCTGCCCATATCAGTTTTGATGTATGTAATGGTGACAAAGTCCACAACCTTTGTTCTGTGTGAAAATTTTCCAAAGTTTTTCTGAAGCAAGTATGAAGCTGATGAAGGACAAATCAAAATGTGGTGACAGCCACTTGTACAGTGAACTGGCATCACAATAGCTGCAAGGACAACACAGAGCATACAGTGATTTTCTTGGGGCTTCAGATTTTAGCCACTGATCAGCTATTGTTCTGATAAACAACTTGATTGAAAATAGCAACAGATGCTGAGACATGTCACTGTCCAATATTACCTTAAAACATTGATTTCACAGCATGAAACAGCAAAAGTAAACCAATTGGAGGATTTTAAAGCTGTAGTTAGCCAATGTTTTTGAACTGGATAATATCAAAATCTGACATTATGACAGAGCATTAATCTTAACCTTGTCCTAATCGATTATATTTGGTTCTGATTACAGTATAACTTATAACTACTACATATTTTTCTTGCTAGCTGACCTGTACTGACATGATTGCTCCTGTGTTTTCCAGCAGCTAACTGATGAGCAGCGTGGTCAGCTAAGCCAGTTTGAGAGTGCTGCAGGTCAGTGTGTTGGAGAGTTGCAGAAGGCCCAGGACCAGGTCTGTTCACTACAGACCAAGATCAGAGAGAGTGAGACCAGGAACCAGGTACAAACACCCCACAGATCTTCATGCTTAGAGCACATATCTGAATGTGAACTGACTGACTCCTCCTGCATGCTTGTGTTTTATTTTTACTTTTGTCTTGTATTTATACTTGTTAATCCTTAAAAATATATATTTTTTTCATTGTATCAGCACCATCTGTTTTTTTTTCTTGCACCTTAACTTGGTTCTTTTACTGGCATGATTTGGACCCCCTTACTTATTTTTCTTACATGTAATATGTGTAAGCTACTGGATACCTTGATATTCCCCAAGGCCAAGGGCATGAATAAAGTCTTTCTACATCCATCCATCCTTACATAAGAAAAGATCTGTTATAAGCAGAAACTAGATTTAGACAACTCATAACAATACCGGATTATGTTCCAGGAAATGTCAATTCTTGTTTTTGTGTCTGTGTTTTTGTGTGTAGAAACTGCAGGGGCATCTTGGTGAAATGGAACTTGAACTGCGGTCAGCCCAAGAGGAAGCCCACCAGCAGGAACGAAGCATCCAGAACGTCACTGATACTGTAAACTCCAAGGAGGCAGAGGTACAGGAGTGAAGGATGGATAGATGCATAGAGAGAGAAAAAAACCCAGTTTGGACTGATAATTAAGTCTGAACACAGTGAGGAGTGAAAGGTCAGAACTAAAAGTACACAAAAATATGCAGTGCCTGACTTAAATGGTGCTGTCATGTGTGCAGATTGCAGAGCTGTACAGAGTGATTGAGGAGCAGAATAAGATGCTGTGTTCCCTCAAAGAGCTTGCTAACCACAATCAACTGCAGGTTTGTCCACCACCCTGTCAGTGAATGTAACATCAATCAGCAACCTAATTGTTAATTATTATCTAAAATCATATAGAGAACCATTGTTTTAAATTGGAGAATCCCTTCTGTTCTTTATCTGTTCTTCTCTTCCATCTTTCCTCCTGCCTGGTTTTCCTTGCAGGGGTCCAGTGCAGAGACGATTAGAGGTCAGGGAGAGGTTCTGGCTCTGCAAGCGTCTCTGTTCCAGGCTCAGCTCGAGCTGCAGGCTGGGCAGAGGGCACAGCGGCAGGCAGCCAGGACTGAAGAGGACCTAAGGCGGGCCATGGAGAGGCTAGAGAAGGACCTGCAGGGAGCACTGCAGCACCGGAAGGAGACAGAGAGGCATAACCGGGTGAGAAAAGGAGGAGTGTGTCCGTTTCACAATGATTCTTTGAAGTGGTTAAACACACTTGTTGGAGTACCATTTTTATCAATTTTATTTTAATGAGTGTGTTTAACTTTAGGTAAGTAGAGACTCAGGTATATTAGTGGCATATCGGTTTGGTATCTTGGCTCTGTGTGCTTCATCATGTCGTATATGTGTGATATTTAGGAGCTGCAACTGGCTCTGGAAAAGGCTCGATCAACTCTGCAGGACCGAGAGGAGCAGCTGAGAGAGGGCAAGCAAGAGAGGCAGAGGGAGAAAGAGGACAGAGAGAAGACCATCAGAGACCTAAAGATGTCCCTGCAGACCAAAGAACAGCTGGTGAACGTCACACACACTTAAACAACCAAAGTGTATATGTAAAACAACAAATGCCTACTATGTTGGACATACTAGCAGAGACCATGCATATAAGAGTGAGGTAAACTGTAGGTCTTCTGACAGCCACTTGGTACTGCTCGAAAACGCACTCATACCACAAGGAGTGAAGAACTGATCAGTGTATCAGTTTAGGTAGATTGTTCCATTTCCTCTAATGTGAAATGTATGCTGTATACACTATAGGTTGGATGGTGTGTTTGTTCATCTCGCCTATCTCGACCCAAGCTATACCCCTGTGTGTACAACTCTGTGTGAAACTTTTCTGTCCATCAGGACTGCTCTGAGCTGTTGGAGAATCCAAAGGAGAAGAGAGACTCTCTGCTCGAGAAATTTCGCCAGCGTATAAAGGAAAGAGACCAAGCTCTGGAGGTGAACCCCACAACACACATGCCAACACATGAAGCAGCAAATGCACTTGCAACAGACCAACAGTGTTCAGTATGTCTTGTGACCTTCTGTGAGGTACTTATTGTTCATGAGATGGTGTTCTGATCCTGTGTTATGTACCCATCCTAAACTTATAGTGTTAAATGTCACAATAAATATTTTTGCACTTGAAAAAGTGTGCAAGATGCACATTTCAACAATAAGATAATGCAAAGTAATTTACTTTTAACATATAATACATTAAGAAATGTTACAAAAAAAATTCATTAAAAAAGACACATATATACACAGAATAAACTAGGATATAAAGTAATAATAGGTCCAAAACAGCATAAGGCAGAGAATACCTGGACAATAAAAATTACATTACATTGCAAGATATGAATGGGGTTTTTTTTTCTCACATTTAATTTAACAATTCATCTTAAAATTTTAATTTTTACAATTTAATTAAAGGCAGCAGCAAACAGATAGCCCCGCATTAAGCCCTGAATAAAATAAGCTGAGCAGACCCCAAGTTTTCTGGGAGTTTGATCCACATACGTAGAACATACAAATTCAATGGTGATTCTCTATGTTTAGTTTTGCTTCGGAGCGCAGTAGGTAGACTAGCTGGGAGGGATGGGTGATCTGTAACAGAACACACCAGAATTTAAAATAAATTCTTTAACACTGACAGTGACAGGAGTGGGACCGTAGCTTACTATAGATAAATGCACGGGCAGGTCTTGGCAAATTCACTGATATATTCCGTGTCCTTGCTTGAAAAGAAGTTCTTCTGAATTACTGATTTAAACAACATTAAATACGATTCTTTTTTTTTTATTAATTTAATTTAATGCTATGTTGGAATCCACAAGGTAAGATAAGCGGTTTTCAAAGCAAGCTTCAGGCTTGTTGAAACTGTAGGCCTGTGGACTCAAACCCAAACCCACAGGTGTCTGATTAGTTTAGATGTACCCTAAGTCAGCTGTGGCTCAGGCGGTAGACCGGGTTGTCCACTAATTGCAAGGTCAGTGGTTCAGTTGTCAGCCCCACTGCATGCTGAAGTGTCCTTGGGCAAGACACTGAACCCAAAGTTGGTGGATGGGAAAAATTGTAAAGTCCTTTGAGTACCAGTAAGGTAAAAAAGAACTATGTACGGGTAGACAATTTAGTGATGACTGACACCTTTTCGGCCAACCCTCAGCAAGCAGTGGATGAGAAGTTCCGCTGCATGGAGGAGAAAGAAGAGGACACTCGTCGACTGCAGTTGCTGCTGAGAGAGAAGGAGAGAGACGTGGAGAGGCAGCGCTGCGTCCTGGCCAACAACGAGGAGACCATCACTGTAAGTAAATGCTCGTACAGAAAGACACACATTTTGATGTGTTGACTGCTCCTACCCTCTTCTTTGGTTGTTTGTGTGTGTGTGTCAGAGCCTGGAAATGCTGGTGCGAGGTAAGGCTCTAGAGCTGGAGCAGGTGGGTCATGCCTTTGGGAATATCCAGCAGCAGCAGCAGGACAGCGAGGACAGGCAGACCCGCATCCTGACAGAGAGAGACGCCATCATCAACCAGCTGCAGGTGGCGCTGCGTGCTCGCACACAGGAAGCACAGGTATGAGAGAGTAAGACCAAAATAAAATAGATTTATTGACATATGTATTCAACAGGCACAGGTGCAGATTTTTTTTTTGCTATATGTGTGTTCATGGTGTCATGTTTGTATAAATAAGTACAGTCCTGTGAGTATTTTACAGTAAGGGTGTAGTACTGTTCAAAATAACATCATCTAAAAGTAAGGGAATCTTCTTTTAATGATCGTGGTGAGTCTGAGGATTATGATATGGTCACAATAAGTTAGAAATAAATGCAGTTAAACTCAACACACAATCCCACACAATCATGTTCTCGTGTTTCTTTATGTCTCCTGAATGTAGGATCTGCGCTGCTCCCTGGTGGCGCAGGTCCAGTCTGCTCCAGGTGTTATAGAGGAGCTGAAGGTCAGCCTCCAACTAAAAGACCGGCTTTTCCAGGAAGTGCTCGCTGATCGAGCCCGTCAGGCCCAGGACCACCAGAAGCAGGTCCAGAATCTGCTCAGAACCGTCATCTCCAGGGATCAATACATTCAGGTAGACAAGAGTAGCCAACCAGAGAGCACAGGCTGAATGTTAGAGTTTTATATAGAAAAACTGACAACAGCCTTCCTCTAGGACTCTGCCACTCGGCTTGGTGAGGTGATAACTGAGCAAACATCAAGGCTCCAGGAGCTTCGCAAACAGCTGAACCCAGGTCTGACTGCACAACACGACTCCGGACCAGACTTGGATGTGCAGCTCCATGCGGTGCAGGAGGAGCTTCATCTGGCGCTGAGGAGGGAGAAGGAGAGCAGGGAGCTGAGCAGGAGTCAGGCTGTCAGGCTGGACTCCCTCAACAGGACTCTTCATGTGAAGGAGGAGATTATCAGGGTCAGTGTGTGAGAGGTGTTTTCTTTTTTTTCCCTCATGTATGTAATTTATCTTACTCTAACCTCTCATATAAACTGCTAATACTCAAAGTATGGTTGGTTAAAGAATAATGAGGGTTGTGAAATTACTTATCCTGCATTATAATACTCTCAGCTATTACTCTGCTGTTTACATACACTTGCGTCTCCTAGCCATTTTTAAAATTATTGTTAAACTTTGTCTGTTAAATACAACACTTTCTGTTGATGTTTCATTATGTCACTGCAAGGCTTTCTGTGTGGAACATTGAAAAAAGTGCTTGAAGTGACCAGATTAAATGAGTGAATGAGAACCTTGTATCTGTTAAACAGTTAAACTCAGAGAAAATGTACAATATAAGGAATGTGCCGGCGTAACAGGTAAATGTATCAAGTGATGGATTTGCAAGTAAGAAAAATCAGTAGTGTGTGTGTGTTTGTGTGTGTGTGTGTGTGTGTGTGTGTGTACTGCAGGGATTCCAGATACAGCTGATGGATCCTTTAGGCCTCCCCCTAGTGGAGCGACTGACCCAGGAGGTCCAAGAACTGAGGGAGAGTCTGGTCCAGCAGGATGGTCTCCTAGCCAGAGGCCCTGACCTGGGCCCTGACTGGCCAAACAGCAGGCAGCCTGAGTTTGGAGGTGGGCATCAGAGAAGCATGGGACAGTATCTGTAACAGCAGCTCTCCCAGCACCAGGGATTAGTGACTGTTAAGTGGGTGTTTGAGCGGAGAGACTCACTGTTGTGGTGGTTTTTGTATTAATTTACCATAAATGTTTGTTTCTGGGTGAACATACTAACACGGAACATTTTTTCTATCATAACCAGTCATGGAAATGATGAACCCCAAGGTCTTTTTTCAACAGTTGCCAGCCTGCTTGCTTCTGATACTGATGACAGAGATGTGTGTTTTATTAAAGAGACATTTAAAATCACATCAGTATCATTTACATCCTCAATAAGATGCAGCTTGGATTTAGGCCAAGAGGCTGGATTGTCTTTCAGCCCTAACAAGCTTTACACTGTTTGAAATTACAAATCCTCACAGTCTGTGTACACTAATGAAGGATTCCATCCACACTGTGACAGCAATTAATTGCTATTTTGTCGCAGTACCCACACATCTAGCAAAACTCAATACAGAGTATTCAGTTTGGTGGTGGACTATTTAAAATTTTTTATTTTTTTTTAAGTACACACAAAAGAGAAATACTAATAACTAATGTCTTGATATTGGTTGAAATCTGATCTGTAAAACTGACTGCACCTTTGGAGAACTGAAGTCTGAAAACTTTGAAAATGTGTTTAGTTTTTCACTGTGTAAGTGTAACATTTTAACTTATGTTGAAACAAATTATTTAACTTTTCCATCTGGGTCTTGTCCTGATTGACAACCAGTTTGGAAACATCTGAAGCAATATTTTATTTAATTGCTTTGTTGATGATTTATTGCAGTTATTGTACCTTTGATCTATTCATTTAACTGTATTGTTTAAAGTTTGCCAAGATATTTTGTAATTTGTAAAAATACCATCAGATTCAGTTACTGTTTTAAATGTCAATATATCTAATCTATTACCGTGCATAAAGTTGGGTGGTTATGTCTTTGCATGTTTAGCAGCATGATTGAACCTTCTGATTACTGAACCCAAGTCACATGCTTCCTGAAGAATGTGGAAATATAGACACATTCCACATTGCTGTTGTTTTTATGATCTGTATACTAAGTTCACAGCTTGCTTCTCAGATTTTTTTTTGTAAGTTTTGCAATTCAACAACCAGTGGCTTGATTTGTGGTTTGAAATGAATGAATATTATTCTGAGTGTCACACTGGAGCACAGTAAGTAGAAATGTTTTTTTTTTTTTTTTTTGTTGCAGTCAAAAAAAAACAAAAAACCTGAAGAATGTAAAGTGTATGTGTGTCTGCACAGACTGTCTCGGGGACCACATTTGTTGCATTGCAGACATTCCTGCATATTTCAGTGAATTTATTAACTTCCAGGCCTTAACATGTTTAGAGCAGTGCCTAATAAAAAAAAAAAAAAAACTTGCAACGCTTGTATAATGCATTTTTGATTTTAGAAGGTTTTGCATTCTTTTTGTAGTTCAAGTTACTCTATTTCCATATTTGCACTGGTACTGCCACATCCTAACAATGCAACTTTCTCCACTTCCCAAATGAAAGCACATGCATGTTTACTATATTCATTTACTAGAATAAACAAGCACAACACACACATGCTCCCCGTCTCCCCTGATTGTGTGAATTTGTGTCTGAAAGACTAAAGCACTCAATGATCATAAAACTAGTTATAATGCAATTATTTTACACTCATTAGAATTTTAGTATAAAAAGTAGCAAATATCAAATTTGTTGAAGTTTTTTTATTCTACTTTTATATATGTGCAATTTTTTGTAGTAGTAACAAGGACAATAGAATTACTATGGCCATGTTTGCAAATAGAAACCCCCATAACTGTTTAGTTAGTGCAAACATTTCTCCACATTTCCAGTAGTATTCTAAACTCTGATGTAGGAATACTACATTACTTTAATATGACTTAATAATTAGACACATTTACTGATCCTTTAAAAAAAAAATAATAATAATACCTTAATCGCAAAATCTGTGTGTCTTCAAGGGTAGTTAAAACCCTGAAATCATAAAAAAGAAGAACACATCCTTTAGGTCCTCAGTGGTGTCAGCCCTGATCATTGTAAAAAGTCTGGCACTAATTTCTACTAATAATTGGAGCTGGGCTGTGTTACAGCCCTATAAAATGACATACAATATATAAATGTGTAATTATTACATGGTAACGTATTTTTCCCTTGCTTCAAACTCAGGATTAAATCCCATAGTCTGACTGTGTCTGATTAACTCTGCACAGATCCCCGTGTAAGGTATAACTGTATTGCATTTTTAAATACAGCACAGTACAGTAAATACCTGGTCATTTAGTAGATCTTAAGACTGAAGAACAGTCTGTCCATTCAGTCAAACTCATGTGGTCTAAAGCTTAGTGGTGTGACTGAGTGCCATGTAACAAATGACCAACATCCTCACAAAAGTGAAGAATGTCAGTGGGCCAGGTGAACTATACCTACAACCATTTCAGAAATAGACATTTTCTCTGTGTTGACAGTGTGACACTCATTTGAATGGTTGCTGAATTGCAGAGTCACAAGCTGAAAAAATGGAAGTCAACAACGTGCATCTTTTAAGACTGTGCAAAGTTCTGACTGTTTTTCACTTAGTTTATTGTGTTTCTGTGCCTGCTATAACTATATTCTGCTTTCACTAGAACTTAGCTCTGAGAGTGAAGACCAGGCCAATGATGATCTTAACAGCGAGTACACCGAGAGCATCAATGAAGAGGAGTCCAACACCAAGGTATGAAATAAGCCAGTTTAAACAGCTGGACAGAAATGTACTTACCCGTCAATTTGATGTTTAAACCCCTGTTTTTGTTGAATGCCATTAGTCATTACAATCTCATGATGAGCAACTGGCTTTTCTAAAACTCTTTTGCCTACAATTGACTTTACTGTTTTTAGACCTTCTGTCATTGTTTGGATTGTGCAGCTAAAAAAATAATTTTGGACTCAATTTACATGAGTGTGATGCAGCTTGAGTGAAGCACTGAAGCAAGCAAATTTGACAACCTTTTTTTTGTGTCCGTTGTTCATGTATGACATGGGAATGAGAGCCAATCACATTATATGTGAAACAGAAAAGAGGACCCAGATACACAAGACAGAAAAGTAGTTAAGCAAACCAAAATATACTTTAAAAAAATGAACTTTCTAAAGATGGCAATGGCAGCTGGCAGAGTTGAAGAGAAAAATGTGTAAATCCAAAGTCAAAATAAAAGAAGTCCACTGGATAACCAAGGAGATATTTAAAAAATGGGATACAAATATAACTGGAAGACAAGCAGGAGCATGGGGAGAGATGCAGGATATACATACCAGAACACAGGAAGGTAGAAGGACAAACTGACAAGGGCAGAGGGAGTTCTGAGGCCAGTTGTAGAAAAAGAACCCCTCTCTGGAGCCCTTGCAGGAGAGCCAGTGGCAGAACAGAATCTGTCTGGAGAATGGACAACAGGCTGACAGAGACAGAACCCCTCTGGAAGTCAGGCAGAAGCCACTGATAATGGTGAAAGCCCCTCAGGACCCAGCCAGGTGGCCAGCTACAATGGTTAAACCACTTTGGGTCAAGCAGGCAGGCTAGGGACCACAGACGTGGGTGGGCCAGAAACTGCAGCTCACAACAGGCAGGGCAAACCAAAGCTTCTCAGATTGTGTGTCAAAGACGATGGCTTGCTCTGAAATTTGCAGGGGGTCAAGTGGGAAGACCAATTCTGAAAATGTCTGTGTATCCACTGGGACATCATTGATTCTGGGGCAGGGGCACCATAGACCCACTCAGGAACAGTCTTAGCATCAGCATATCCAGGGCTGAAGAGATATCTGCTGACTCGTGGGTAGATGGCCAACTCATGGGACATAGTGTACAGGAGATATCAGTCAACTCAGGAAAAGTTTTTGCATTGACCAACTCAGGAGCAGAGGGGATGGTAGTTGACCCAGAAGCAAACTCAAAAACAGGCAGACTGATAGCTGACTTGGGTCTAGGGGAGTCATCTTGGGATCAAGGGGCATGTTTGCTGACTCAGGAAGTATCTCAGAGACAAAAGGTAAGTCCGTGGTTCCAGGGTGAGATCAGGCAGGGAGCTGTCTGCTTTACTGTTGGCCAACTGGTCAACTGACTGTTGGCTAGCAGTCTGTGGCCAGTGTAGCTCTACAGCTAGGTCTACAAAGAGAGAGACTAATGACCTGGATGACAGGGAGCCTTGGCACTGTTGGAGCCTCACTGTCTTGCTGGATCTGCCTTAAAATCTAGGTAAGGAGAAAGGAGACACCTGGGCATCATCAGCGGTGGAATCAGACAAAGACTAGCCAATTCAGGGGAAGGCTCTGGCTGAAAGATAGCAGTTTGGAGACTGTCTGGCTTGTTGTACTTCTTCGGATGCTAGCTGTAGGGTGGTTGTCTCTGTGATTGGATCAGGCATGGTGCTCGTCGGCTCAGAGTTAACTGACACTGAGATGACTAGCAGACATAGTGCCAGGGACAGCTGGTGGGTAGTAGGCTGGATCAGGAACAGGCTTGGCTAGGAAGCCTGAATGGAATACTGAATGGATGCAGGTAGGACCCCAACCTCCTTTTGGCATTAGCAGTTGCATAAACAAAGCCAGCCATGCCCGTAATCACCAGAAGCCAAGGTCTGGTGGTAACTGTCCTCTCCATTAAGCTGTATGCAGCCAGTTTTCCCTCAGTGTGTATGGTGTGCCTTCACCAACCAACTGTAGCTTCTCCAAATTAATTTTACTGCCTCATGTCCATTTAGGGGAAATTTTAGTGTGTGCTATGTTCATAATGGTCAGTTTGTTCTATTGGGACTAGATGGATAATGTGACACAAGTGGAAACAGTTGAGCAGACAGTCACTCAAGTGGGAAGAAAAGGAAGCAAAGCAACCAGAGATACATGAGAAAAACATGATATTCTCCAAATACAATAGAAAATAGCTAAACTAAAATTCAAAGCATAACAAACCAAAAGACATCTTGATTGATCAATCTGATGTCTCCGACAGAATTTAAGTGTATTGGAAAGTCTGGTAAATTACTTTTAAATTCTAATGTGTCTACACCTGGCCCAACTTTGGCCCTATTTTAGTATTTTTCTTTTGCAGCATTGTGTTTATTGAATTTATATTGTTTAGTCTGCTTGTACTGATACTGCCATCTTGGTCAGGTCTACCTTGTTATAGAGATTTTCCAAATCACCTGTTTGAAAAACAGATAAATAAAATAAATAAGACAAGTATTTTGTATATGAGGTGATGCATTCATTAATCATAGTTCTGATTGCTATATGAAAAGAGTTGTGAAGGTCCAGGGAAGGTGCTGTGCCAGGATCTTTTGCACGATGGTCATGGGCTGATGGAGGTCAAACAACTTGTGGAGCAGAAGAGAGTGGTGGAGAGAGAGCTTGGAGAGCTTAAGGCTCAGCTGGAGAAGGCTGGGTTCTCCTCACTGTCACAGATAAGGTGAGACAGTTTTGCAAATTAATTTTGGTTCAGTCCAATTTCAGTTCTTTTGCTATTCCAAATATTTAATTTAAATAATAAACCTCTATCTTTGTGAGTTTAAAAAAAATAAATACATTTAATTCCTGCCATCCCAATGAGATCCATAAACATGGTAGTCTTGAAAGTATTGAGAAACAGAACTGTTGCCATTTTTGTTGTTTTTTCATGGCATATGTTGGCAACAAGATTAACAATAAAAGACGCATATGGAATAATACCAGCTTTATCCTCTAAAGCTACAGGAATACATTTGGTTATTTCTTTCCCCACCTCTTTTTGTTTTAAAGGAAGGCTTTGCTCCGCCTACAAACAGAAAACAGCAATTTAAAGCATCAGCTGACTGAATGGCTACAACCTGACAGTACACAGATGGATGAGCAAATGATGCAGGAGGGCAAGGAGGAGGATGAAGATGATGAGGAGGAGCTGGATGTGACCATAGAAGGTGAAGAAGAGGAAGAAAGCTCAGAGCTGTGGGATGCCTGGGATGGAGAGCTACCCCTGTCTCAGGCCCAGATCCACATCACTGATGAACAACGGAAAAAGAGAGCCAATAGACCTGAATCCCTGGACCTGCTTAACAATTCCGTTCAGGTTGAAGGACTATAACACACAATTTTTTTGTTTGCTTGCTTTGTTTTATTGTCTAAAATGAGGTGGTGATGGAAAACAAAAATGTATACTGTTGAATCCAAAAGGGAATAAATGTGATCTGACTGTTTATATAAAATATGCGGTACATGAAGGTCACAATAATTTTTCCTCTATCTGTAATTCAGGATGTCAACCTGGCTAACAAGGAGTTGGCTGGTAGGCAGCAGACAACTGTGTCCTCTGTGATGTGTGAAAAAACAGTTCATCTTCAGCAGAAGAGCAAAGAGCTGCAGGAGAGACTAATGGTGTCTGAGGCCACAGTGCAGGCTCAGGCAGAGCAGCTCAAAGACTACAGGGAGCTGCTTAGTAAGTGGACAGAATGATAACTTATACAACATGTTGTAGGTGATGCTTATATTTACGTAGTAAAATAAGCAAACACCAACAACAAGTAAAATGCATAGCTTATTCTTCTTCTATGTTTCTTCAGCAGAAACAGCTGTGCAGCAGGACAGTAAGCAGATCCAGGTGGACTTACAAGACCTGGGCTATGAGACCTGTGGCCGCAGCGAGAACGAGGTGGAAAGGGAAGACACCAGCAGCCCAGGTATATCTGACTGTTACTGTATATTTGTTTTACACCTGTACCAAGCAATTTATTGTTTGGTAAACATTCAAGTTATGTAAAACAGGCAATGCCAATGTCCTCCTGAAAACTAGCTTTAATGTATACTTGTAGTGGTGTCAGAGAAACACCAGATGGAAGCAAAGTACTGCTTTAACAGTACACTTAGGCTTAATTGACTGTTATCTGTGCATATGATAATAAAGGAGACATGCGACATGCTGACAGATGGTTTGTTTTTTACGTTAATTTAAAAAAAAATACAGTTTAATGCTACTTATAAGCAACAGATTATTAGCCTGATGAATCTAATTAAGCCCTTTTGTATGTTCCCTGACAGAGTTTGATGACCTTGAGATGTGTACGTCTCTTGATTGTGGTTCTCAGTGGTGGCCTGCCAACAGCAGCAGGTCTACCTTCACCAAAACCACCACCCTAAGCTCTGGAAATGAGGCCTTGTCTCTCCAGTGCCTTGTTGAGGACCTTCGTTCACAGTTGTCCCGCTCTCAGGGAGTCATCCGAGGGCTCCAGACCCGCCTCCGCTCTCTTTCCTCTTCTAGTGACTACGGACCCTCCACACCCAGCAAGGTCAATTGGTCCTTCCAGGCTTCTCCCTCACAGAGCGGGGCAGAGGATGACGAGGGCTGGCAGTCATCTGATGGAGGTCCACAAACTTTGTCCCGTCACCCTAATGCAGACAAGGGCCTTCAGCAGCTCGTGTCCCGGGTAGATGCACTGGAAGACCAGCTTAGGAAAGGCGGCAAGAAGGCTGTCACAGAGGACGTAAAGTCTGCCACCTGGCCAGGGTGAGAAAGAAAATGTTATTTATTTCTCATATGTTGTGCTCTAAACAATTGTAGTTGCTACTTTGCAGTTTTTTTTGACTGATACTAACTTGTCATCAGTTATGATCTTATGATCAATACACCATGTATATGCATCATATATAAAAATCTGTTTCAGTCATTGGGGCTGTGAAAGGACCATTACTCTGATTCAGAATAAAATGAGGGGAGAGAGCATAGTCAACATCAAATTAAAACCCGAGCAGGTCAGAAAACCAAGAAATGCCTCCCCAAAAGATGATAAAATAAAGGAAACTAGGAGTACAAATCTCAAATATAAGCCTATTTTAAATAAGGTCTGGTTATGTCTAAATTTGCACTCAATAAAATTCCCTGACCAATATTTGGGAATTTGCAGTTGTTAGCACTGTTGCCTCGCAACTCGAAGTTTCTGAGTTTGAATCTTAACTTGCGGTCTTTCTGTGTGGAGTTTTCATGTTATCCCTGTGCAGCCTGGGTTCTCACCGAGTTTTCCAGCTTCCTCCCACAGTCCAAAGACATGCTGAAGTTATTATAGGTAATTCTAAATTGTCCGTAGGTGTGAATATGAGTTTGCTTGGATGTTTGTGTCTTTGTGTGGCCCTGTGATAGACAGGTGACCTGTCCAAGGTGTCCCCTTCCTTCTCCCTAAGTCAGGTGGGATAGGCTCCAGCCCCCCTGTGACCCTATAGAGGATAAAGTGATGTATTGAAAATGGATGGATGGATGACTTTTGGGTAAAATGTGCAAAAAATTGCACGGTCCTTTAATAAGCAACAAACAAAAACTGTACTGGACCTACAGCATCAACCTCTTGCTAATTGACATGTGGTTCTGTCCATATTTGGTACAGTAATCTATTAATGACTGCAGGCATTAAATGCCCCGTCACTCTCCATTAGTATCAGGCCATGTTATCCAAGCCTAACCACAGATGTTTGTGTAAACTCAGAGGGGAAATTATTAACTAACATGAGGTTGAAAACACGTTGTCCCAATTCTCTTGTATGAAACTTTATAGCTAACATGAAGCTTTAGCATTAACATTGTGATGCAGAATCAGGCCATAAAATTTTGTCAATGCACAAGTCTTGGGAATCTTCCCCTACACCAAGTGAGCTTGTATGAAATCCTGAGCGTAGCATTCAAAAACAAGGCAACAGACTTAGATATGTGTTGAAGAAACAAATATATATATTCAATATGAAATACTTCCATTTGGACAATTTAAACAGGGCTCATTTTATACAGTCATTAGACTTAGATGCAAACACTACAGCTGGAAAGTCTGAGGAGCTCAGCACAGATCTAAAAAAGCAAATTGTTGACTTGAACAAGTCAGGAAAGTCACATGGAGCCATTTCAATGCAGATCCCAAAACTATCTGTGAAAACAACTGTTTGTAAGTATGAAGTGCATGGAAAAGTTCTGTCACTGCCATAATCAGGAAGAAAACACAAACAATCACCTGCTGCTAAGAGACTATTGATCAGGATGGTCAAGAGTCAACCAAGAATCACCAAAAAGCAGGTCTACAATGAATTAGAAGCTGCTGGAACACTGCTGTCAGTGTCCACAATCAAGTGTGTCTTACATCACCATGAGATGAGAGGCAACCATGCAAGAAGGAAGCCTTTTCTCTAGAAGCGTTAATTAGGGCTCGACTGAAGTTTGCTGCAGATTACAAGCCTTCTGGAGGAAAGTTCTGGGGTCAGATTAAACAAAAAATAAAGTGCTTGGCCACAAAGACCAGAAATGTGTTTGGTGGTGAAAACGTGAGGCCTTTAACTCCAAAAACACCAAACCCACCATCAAGCATGGTGGTAACGATATTCTCTGGGGCTGTTTTGGTGCCAGTGGAACTGGCACTACACAAAAAGTCAATGGAATAACAAAGGAGGATTACCTCCACATTGTTCAGGACAATCTAAACTCATTAGCCAGAAGGTTGGATCTTGGATGCAGTTGGGTGGTTCAACATGACAATGATCCCAAGCACGCACACACAAGCAGAAATGGCTAAATCAGGCTGGAATTGGGGCTCTAGACCGGCTTCCCCAAAGTCCTGACTTCAACCCCATCAAGAACATCAGAATCGAAGTCAGAATTAGAATCTCTTTATTGTCATTGTACAAGACAGCACAACGAAATTTGAGATAGCAGCTCGCGTAGACAGTGCAAAACATCAGGACAAAAAAAGTGCACAAGACATAGTATTAAATTTTGAAAAAAGACTCCACAGTTCCGGGGGTAGGAATTCGAAGAGGTGGTGGCTGGGGTGTGAGGGATCCCTGATGATGCTGTGGGCTCTCCTGCCGCAGCGGGTACTGTAAATCTCCTCCAGAGATGGAACAGGACAGCCAGTCAGTCTCTGGGCAGTGTTAATGACCCTCTGGAGCTGCTTCCTCTCTGCCGCAGTGCAGCTGGAGAACCACAGCCAGATGCCGTGGCTCAGCACCAATTTTGCCGAGCAGTGGTAGAAGGACACCAAGAGCTCAGTTCTTAGATTATTCTTCCTGAAAATCCTCAGGAAGTAGAGTCTCTGCTGTGCCTTCTTCAGGATTGAAGTGGAGTTTGCAGTCCAGGCCAGGTCTTCGCTGATATAAGTGCCCAGGAACTTGAAGTCTGACATCATCTCAAAAGTTCAAAGTTCAAAAGGGTTTTATTGTCATTTCAACCGCATACAGCTATACAGTACACAGTGAAATGAGACAGTGTTTTCCAGATCCAGAGCTAAGGTGGTAGTGCAAAGAATGCAGTGCAAAAAAGATAAAATAAAATAGAATAAAATAAAAATAGAAATATGGAAACAGGTGGTGCAATATAAAGAACACATAGTGCAAACATGTACAATTTGAACATAAGACAATACAACACAACACGGACAAAATCAACAACACAATGGAGGTGGTGTGTGTATGTTTTTGTTTGTGTGTTAGTCCAGTCCTTAAATGTTTAGCAGTCTTATGGCTTGAGGGATGAAGCTGTTGCACAGTCAGGCCATGCGGGCCCGCATGCTTCTGAACCTCTTGCCAACAGCAGGAGTGTAAAGAGTTTGTGTGAAGGGTGTGTGGGGTCCTTCACAATGCTGGTGGCTTTTCGGGTGCAGCATGTGGTATAAATGTCCTTGATGGAGGGGAGAGATACTCTGATGATTTTTTTCTGCTGTTCTCACTACCCTCTGGAGGATCTTGCGGTCTGAGACAGTGTAGTTTCCAAACCAGGTAGTGATGCAGTTGCTCAGGACTTTCTTTGCTATGGAGCTGGTGGTGAGGGACCAAGTGAGGGACTCCGCCAGGTGGACACCAAGAAATTTGGTGCTCTGGCCAATCTCCACAGTGGAGCCATTGATGGTCAGTGGAGCATGCTCCCTTTGTCCACTCCTGAAGTCCACAACCATCTCTTTAGTCTTGTCCACATTCTGAGACAGGTTGTTGACTTGGCACCAGTTTGTTAGCTGCTGCACCTCCTCTCTTTAGACTGACTCGCAGTTCCTGCTGATGACACCCACCACGGTCGTGTCATCAGAGAACTTAATGATGTGGTTTGAACTGTGCTTCACTGCACAGTCGTGAGTCAGCAGAGTGAACAGCACTGGACTAAGTACATAGCCCTGGGGGGCCCCCGTGCTCAGTGTGGTGGTGTTGGAGGTGCTGCTCCCGATCCGGACTGACTGGGGTCTTTCAGTCAGGAAGTCCAGGATCCAGTTGCAGAGGGAGGTGTTGAGGCCCAGCAGGCTCAGCTTTCTAAACAGGTGCTGGGGCATGATTGTGTTGAATGCTGAGCTGAAGTCTATGAACAGCATTCTGACTTGGGTGTCTTTGTTATTTAGTGTGATGGGCTGAATGTCCGATTTACACCTCCTGAAGTCGACCATCAGTTCCTTTGACTTGGAGGTGTTCAGGATGAGGTTGTTGGTGGCGCACCAGACTGACAGTTGCTCCACCTACATTCTATAGGCGGTCTCATCTCCTCCAGAGATGAGCCCCACATGTGGACTGTGATGAGGAAACAAGTCTGTGTCGGAAAGCTGTTAAATTTACTTGTACTGCACTAATTCAGTCAAGAGGAGTGGTCAAAGATACAACCAGAAGCTTGTAGATGGCTACCAAAATCACCTAGTTGAGGTGAAAATGGCCAAGAGACATTGCTAAATGTATATTTTTGACCCAGCATATTTTGTCATTTTTCCAGAAGACCGATAATAATTCTATGAATGAATCAAAGTCCATGATTAACATTTGTATGTGTGTTAATCATTCCATTTTAGGAAATTGAGAAACTGGAAGCTCAAGACTGCCATAATGCACATGGTCTCTTTAAGTGTATGTAGACCTTTGTACACATTCAATATATAACTTGTTTATTTCTTTTTTGTTGATACTCTAGTAAATTTGACACACTGATCCAAGCTCAAGCCAGAGAGCTGTCTCACCTTCGCCAGAGACTGCGAGAGGGTCGATGCATGTGCAACATCCTCACCCAGCACCTGGGAGACACTACAAAGGCCTTCGAAGAGCTGCTGAGGGCCAATGACATCGACTACTACATGGGCCAGAGCTTCAGGGACCAGCTGGCTAAGAACTGTGCTCTGGCACAGCGAACCAGCGAAAAAATCAGTGCAAGTCAGTCGTGTGGCTTTATTTCATAATACGCGTTTTCATTCTGTCATAGAAGTAACAAACATCACCCAGACTACCTGATCAGCAAAATGTGTAGTGGAAAATTAGTGACATCAATGTCTTCTGTATGTTTTCCAACAGGAGATCTTTCTGAAGATCCAGATGAGAAGACAGAGCTCCTTGCCATCCGGTTAGTATTCATTAACTACAGCTCTGTGTTGTGTATTTTATATATGTCCTTGTTTGCGCTTAGTCATGTTTTGCCTCTGAATTTCTGCTTTGGAGTGAAGCTCTACATGTTCATCAAAGGAAAGTATTGGTATGTGGTGCTTTGACCAATGTTTGATCATGACAGAACTAACACATCGAATTAATGATGGAGGAAAAGTGAGTGTGGGCTGGACAGGCATTTAACAACTATGAAACAATGGATGCTCTTCTTTGTTTTTTGCGTTTGTTTTTTATCAGTCATTTTTCAAAGAAATTTCCTGAAAAAAAAATTTATATTGTAGTGATTGTTTTTAGTTATAATTTTCATGTAATCAGTTATTGTTTTCTAGTACACATATCATTTTACATCCATACACACAGTGAGACTCAAGAATACGTTCAGCAAAAACAGCAAAAACCAGAAGAGCTCTAAGCCTGTATAGTACAAGAGCTCCGCAAAATAATGTCAAGTCTTAGAGAATTAAAGCTAGGAAGTTAGAATATATATATATATAATATTTGCCCTACGTCTACAGGGACTCCAGCCCCCCGCAACCCTAGTGAGGATTAAGCGTTGTATAGATAATGGTTGGATGGATGGATGATTAGCACCTTAATGTATTAAATCACAAGAAAAAGGGGACATCCATATTAGAGCTTTAAAAAGCTACACAATTTCCTGTGAAAACAGATACAATGTAAAATTAAAGCTGCAAGCAGCAGCAGTTGGATGGGCCCTTGCACTTCCACGCATGTCGGACACAGAAATGCCCTCCAGGCAAATTGACAGTCACCTAACCGTAACCCTTTTCTCATAAAACAGTAAATGCTGTTAAGTGTGACAGTTTTACAAAATGCTGTCCTTGTGCCGTTTCTCCACTAAGTGGAGCTCTGACTCCATTCAAGCCTCAGGCCTCACACAGCCTGAGGATCCAGTCGTGCAGGAGTAAGCTGCAGCCAGAGCGGTTCAAAGGGCTGCCACCAGCAGGCCATTTGACGAAAAATCACAATTTTTGGTATGAGTCCTTATCAACATCTTAAGGCTCACGTCACCACATTTGAGGTCAATATGGTTGACCGGCTAATAATAGCACATAAAAGTGTAAAACATGTTCTTTCCTATTGCCAGCAGGTTGTGCTATGACTGTGAAGAGACATTGTTATGAGTGTTAGGAGTTTCATCAGGGGCAGAACTGTGATTAAGTATGTAAAGTTTGAAGCAGATTGGAGCATGTACAGGGTCGTTAGACATGCTTCCTTTGTGATGGTGAATCATCACAATTCAGAGGGCCGCCACTGCCACACCCTGAGACCTTTGCGGAGCATTTCCATAGCTTTTAATCACCAATCAACCAAATTTGAGGCGTGTAGGAGTTAAACCCTAGGAGGAGATAGCTTTTGAAAATTGCAAAAATCACGAAAAATTGCATAGTAATTTCAAAATGGTGGACTTCCTGTTTAGTGTTATATATGCCTACCAAATTTCGTAAATGTAGGTAAAACGTACTGTGGGGGCTAATAGATAAATTGCTGTAGGGGGCGCTATAGAGCCATTTTGCCAGAGAAGCACAAATTGTCTGTTGTTGAGCCGATAGTGGCTCATATGCCAGCTTTGGTGAGTTTTTGAGCATTCCAAAGCTGTCAAACAGTCCTTTCCGTGTCATGCATCGCTGTGGCAATGGCGTTGGTTGAAAATGCAAAAGCTTCGCACTGTAGCATCTTCAACGTGGGAAGACTTAGCTGACCAATTTCAAGAATGATATCACAAAGTATGAAGCAATGGCACATGCAAGTGTAATGCCTCAAAATGCCTGTTACCAATAGGTGGCGCTATGACTATGATTCAATTTTACAGTGTGGAAGTCTTCAGACATGGACTCTTGTCCTTCATGTGTGATTTGGGCCAGATTCGATTATCTGCAGCTGAGATATGAACGTTTGAGTTTTGATCAAAATTTGCCGTCACAGACATGCCCTTTGACGTAAATGAATAATTTTCACCGTGAGTCATCATCAACATGTGAAGGCCTAGTTCACCAAATCTGACGTTAATATGATCAACGGTCTTCCAGAACTACATGGAAGTGTCATTTTCAATTTGCCAGCAGGTGGTGCTATGACTGTGAATGGATATTGGCATATCTGTGATCAAACATGAAAAGTTTGAGGCAAATAGGCGCATGCACAGGGTAGTTAGACAGTACTTCCACTTTCATAGCGTAGGATGGAAAAATCAGGAGGCCGCCATGGCCATGCCCTTTGACTTTTGCAGAAGATTTCCATATCATTTTACCTTCAAGGTGTACTCTACATGCTCGTCGAGTTTCGGCACTCTGCGACTCACCCCCTAGGAGGAGTTCAATCAGGGTGGAGAAACGAACAATCCAAAATGGCAGACTTCCTGTTGGGTTTAGGTCAGACGCCACTGCTGGTTATTTCATGCGGCCGGATGTGCTGGATATGTCTACCAAATTTCATGGATATAGGTGAAACGTGCTGCCTGTAGTTGATGTTACAAGTGCAAAACTAATGTAGGGGGTGTGACAAAGCCATTTCGCCACACATATGTGCAACAACCAAAAAATGTAAAATTTTTCGCCAGTCCTGATGTGTGTGGAAATTTTTGTGATTCTTTGAGCATGTTTAAGCCCTGAAAAATGCGTTCGTTTTGTTGGGTAAATAATAATTCCTTGCATTCCAATAGGGTCCTACGCACATTCAGTGCTCGGGCCCTAACTAATAATTAAATCCACTGCACAGCAATTGACGGTTGTATTAAACTAGTTCTACATAGAGGGTACAAAAAGTCACCCACTGACAACTGCCAAGTAAGGTTATTTATAATTGTCTAAATAAACAAATAGATAAAATGATTTTCTGCTTAAACCCAAGTTTCTGCTAATTCAAACCAACTTTGTATTATCCTGTACTTCAGTGATTCTAACCCCCAAGCCAAAGTCTAGCTACAAACTACCAATAAAAGTAAGGATTCCAAATAAAATTTTTGTACAAATGTAGATGTATCATTGTAACCCAAAGCTTAACAATGGCTGCATAATTATGAGATTAGGAGAACTGATCAAAGCATGTACGCCTGTACGATCTGGAAAGCAAACCTTAGCACCATCATTCTTCTGGGCCATATTCAACCTTATTTACTCTCTTGTACACCAAAGCCACATGTCCCCCTCCCACTGCAGGCAGAGCCATGGCTGTACCACCATCTAAACCTTTGCCACCCAGTCATCCAAATCATACAGCTCACTAGTTTTTTTGCAAGAGATTGGTGACCAGCAGGGCACAGCTGCTCTCTGAGCAAATACTTTAACAGTCCAGTTATCTCGTCAGCTAATTAGACAGACAGCAAAAGCAAAAAAAAGGGAGAGATATGGTGAGAGGACAAAACAACAAAAGGACACCACCAGTTCGATCAGGACAGAGTTATATAAGAGAAACAAAACCTTGTTGTTGGGTTTTATGTTCATTACAGAATGAACAACATTGCATTATGTCATTAGTTTGTTGCACTACAGAAAAAAACAAGTAGCCATTAAATCTCCATTATTCATTCTGTTTGTTATTTGTATTTTTTACTGAATCATATGCTTAGCTTTTGAGCTCATTGTTTAATGGCACAGAAATATCTAACAAATAGGTCAATGACGCGATAACATGTTGGCAAACTTTGTAAAGTTGACCTATTAAACAACTAACATTACTATGTCTTCAGTAGAAAGTTGTTTAGTACAAAGAACTTTTTAAACACAGACTCTTCAGTCTCATTGGTTAAATCTTCTGTCATGCTATTCAGTGTATCTTTGCAGTTTTTGAACCTTGCATAAATAGGCCTCAGTTAGGCTCCAGCTAAAAGCACAGCTTGTGGTGCTCATCTGTTCTGGATGCGTTATGAATGTCCTAAATGTTCAATCACATGTACAACAGCATCCTATTATTTCTGTGTCACAACATAGCTCTCTGATTTCATAAATGAGTGAAATGATAAAATGCCTGCCTCTAAGGTAAAGTAAATACCCTTTTAAATCTGTCACACTCATAGGTAATACACATTTAGAAGTTATGGTGTGAAAGTGTTGTTGAGCTATAGTCTCAGATGTACGTCGCTTTGGATAAAAGCGCCTGCTAAATAAAACTGTAAATGGGCCAAAACATACTTAAACAACAGCATGGTTCTTTAAGCTCAACCACTGTTTTTGGGTAGTAAAGGGTGAGTGCAAGGTCAAATCTTAATCAAGAAACAGTGCTTTGTGAATAATTAGAGATGCTCCTCAGAGAGATAGACATATAGACAGTAAACGAGGGAGAAAGCAAGAGAGAGGGAGGCCTCCACTAACCTAATATTGTGTTGTTAGAGCACAGATGGCCGACCAGATGTGAAAGAGAATTACTGAGGGTGCTTTCTACGACAACCATCACGTTCTGGCTTCGCTCTGATTCAGATTGCATTCCCTACACACATTGTGACAAGAATATGTCTGACAAACATTCACCGAAATATAAAATATCTCTAGTAGCAAACAAGCAGGACTAGCAATGCTGGAATGAAGACCAACACAGCACAAAGTAGACTGCCATGCCATTATTTTCTGTATATTATATACGTTGGAGTATAATATTAATCTTACATTAATAACACTTACTTTGGAAAAAGGAAAGCTGTGTTTTAATCACCTCTCTTTTATGTATACTTGAGGCCTGTTAAACCCACAGTTAGGTTAATTTCTTAGTGGGTCAGACATGTGCAGACAAACATTGTTGAAACCCACAGAAATATTCATTCTAGATCCTAAAGCTTCCAAAGACAGTGTGTCAGGTTGAACGCTAAACTGATGATCAAGGCATACTGCCATCTGATAGAGGGGTGCAGACATTAAAATCACTCTGTGTAAACTTCATACACTTCTAAGCTAGAGCAAGTTAATATGCTAGACAGACCATAATACCATCGAGCAGTAGGAAGGA